AAAAAAAAAAAAAATTGGAAGAACAGCAATGTGAAAATGACGCTAAAAACGATGAATCACTGTTACTAAACATTAGCTGTGCTCCATGAAAGTTAATGGATAAATCTGAAGTTTTCCAGATGAAAAATTGTTTAAAAGCGCAACGGCAATACAACAAAAATAACAATCCGTCTACAGGAATTAAAAATCTAATAATCCGCTTTAGAGTTGCCGTAAACTAAAGATTCTTCCAGAAATCAACAGTATTCGGGCAGTTCATAGCGAAACTTCAAACATCAGTGGCCTTTTTCACCATCCAAAAAACTGTAACTCGTGATACTTGAACAGCATATCGCCACAATCGCTACTGTCACTACGGGTGACTACTATTATCAAATCACCACCATCATCCTGATCATCATTATCAACAGCAACAACAAATATAATCATTTGTCGGCGAGTGTGGAGGGTAAGTAAATGAAAAAGAAAAACTGTAGCACCTACTACCAACATCACTATCATAATCACCAATACAAATTTGCCATTTCAAAGCACTAAAATGACCCGGATAGACAGATGGGTAGATAGGCAGATAGAAAGGTAGATAAATAGATAAATAAATAAGCAAATAAATAAATATGTATTTACTTATTTAGAGCTTAAAAAAAAGCCTATGAATGCGGCTGATTCCAAATGATGATGTTAATCGAAATAAAAAGAAGATATCAAGAAGAGGAAAGGAGAGAGAAGAAAGAAGAAAGAGGGGTGAGGAAGAAATTTCTTCCACCAGTCGTCTCCTTCTTAAACAAATTCCACTTCTTTCCTTCGACTATTTTTAAATACTCCGAAAAAGTCATTCAATTGCCTAAACAAGAAATATACTGAACATTTTTAAAATTCTGTTAATCGTAGCACTAAAGAGCAGAAAAAAAGCAAAAGCTAGAAAAAAAAGTCAAGATAGATAACAAACTAAAAAATGAAAAACAAATCAATTTCACGCATTTTCTTATTAAACAAACAACAGCAACAGCAACAACCAACAGCAATAAAAAGGCTATAATTTTTGCCCGAACATCTTTTTCCCTTCATCTTCTTTCTCCCCCTCTCTCTCTCTCCTCATTTCTCTCTATCTCGATGAACAAAAATACACCTTCAAACGGACCTCCAACTAATTATAAGCACCCCCTTCCCCTTTTCGACTAAAAAAAGAACATTTTTTTCTGCTTACAAATGATCTGCTTTGGCGCTGTTTGCT